ACGGGAAGATAAATTACTCTATCGTTGCATAGAGCACTTTTCAATTGAGTGTTGTGAAACAAAAACCAAAGAAATTAGAATGGCCAATCAAAAGAAAGGAAAGTAAAATACTTTTAAGAGCCAATCAGAACTCAATTAAGAACAACCAAACTGCCTGAGGCGCAGGTAAACGCGGGCGACCAAGTCGTGATTGGTTTTAGTTTAGCAACTGATTGGTTGAGTGGCACGAGTTTCCTGGACCAATCAAAGTGCGAAGTAAAGCAAAACCAACACAATCTCGTGTTTTTTTTTTGTTTGTTTGTTTTTTTTTTTTTACACTGCATTGAAAATTGTTCTAATATCCACTTGAATACACCAATCTATGGTTACTTTCATGTACAGTGAATTTAGTATTGAACAAGATACCATATGTAGCTATTATACTAGTCTTATTATGTACAGATGAGCTTGATCACAACTTTGTGCTGAAGCAACTATAACAAACAAGTATATCTAATTAATTACAAAGATTTTCATATAAGCCATTAGCGTCGAACAAAGATAACACTTCTGCATAAGTTCTGTGTCACTTGACATCAGTAGCCTCCTTCTAAACTATCAACTTATCAAATTGTAATGGTAAACATCAAGAGAAAATAATGACAATTTATTTTCTCTTGTTTACACACAGGATATAAATACATGTGGTCTTAAATAATTATTATCGACTACCAGTTTTGCTACAAAAATTTAAAAATTGATCTCAGAAAATTATAAGTACTGAACGTAGAACTTAAGGTTTCCTTAATGCATCAAAGGCAAGCTCTCTGATGCTCTTCATCTAATTAAATGCAAAATATTTTCGGAATAAATTCGATGCAACCCCTTAGAGCCTGCACTTCAACGTCACAAGCCAACTTTCAACTGTTTCTCTTACTCTGATAATAAGAAAGCAGTGGCAAACACAGAGGGAGGGCCTAAGGGGTCCGGACCCCCATCCCCCCCAACTTCATCAGACCTATGGGTATTTCCACTACTAGTCTGAGACCAAAATTATTCCAACGACAGGATCGCATAGAATTATTCGGCTTGAAAATCTGAAAAATATCTATCTTCAAATACTTCTTAGCTTACTTACGCTCTAATGTAATAATTTTTTTTTTCTTTTTTAATCAAAGTTTGGACCCCCTTAAGACTCCCCCTCCCCCACACCCGTGGTCAGTGGGCATAAAATTTATTAAGTGTCATCCCCGACAGAACTGACGTCATAGTTGATATCAATCGCCAACTAACTATAGATAATTTAACTTTTCTCCATTCTTCTTCATAAGGCGTGCAGCGCGGGAGTCGCTAGGGTAAAAGGCACTACGCTTGCGTTGGCTGCCTGCGTTATGAAGAAGATTGGGACGGCTAAGCTATAGGATTAGAGAAAGTTTGCTGTGTAAACCGGCCAACTCAGTAAACAAACGTCTACGTGTCTGTGAACTTTGAAACGGCAAAGAGGATAAAATTGCGGCCCAACATCTCTTTTTCAGGGCGACTTGATTTTGAAATGTGACCGTTTGTCTCATTCTATATTTATTGGTATTCTATTTGCAAAACAAAGACAGAGAAAAAGTTAAAAAGTCTTGCATGAAAATACCGAATAGGATCGCTTGCTCACCATTGTGGCAGCAGAGGGCGGAGAAGATTTCAACAGACGCATCAAGCGATAGGATGTATTAAGAATTATTGGTCAGTCAGCAGGATCAAGTCGAGTTATAATTGTAAATGAAATAAGTTGGGAACACAGCATTATAAGATTCTTCTGTTCCTTTTGTACATGCGAAAAAGGCAAGGTGTTTTAAAACTGTTTAACGCTTTGGTAAATTGACAAAATACTCATAATTGATTACTCTTTTGAGTTAAAAAGACCTAAGTTTTCCCTGTTCGTTTTCTTTAACAGATTTCCTAATGCTACTTTTCCTCACTCATATTTCTATTCACAGATTTCTATAAACGTGTCAAACTTTTCTTTCCTTTTTCATTTTACATGAAACCGATTATTTCTTTTGTTTTCCTCTTATGGGGAATTAGCGCGCAGCTGGGGAAAATTAATCCACTTGCGCATGTCTGACTTTTGACCGGCGATTTAAACAGGCATGCAAACAGTTTTCTGTCACTGTATGCTTATTGCACCTCACCTGATATTTATGTTTCTCTCATTCAAATAACTGAATACGATGGTTATTGAAAACACTTACAACAATTTGGTCGTTACTTAAAATTGCAAGGGACAGAGGATTTTTAAACTCTCCTTCATTGCTCTCCTTTGCTCCAAACTTGCCAATAAACTTACTACTCGGCTCAAACACTTGTACTCTGTGATTACATTCATCACAGACCATCAGGTGTCCTGATTTGTTCACTGCCATACAACAAGGAGTATCAAACTCCCCGTCCCCACTACCTTTCTTCCCGAACTTGTACTGAAAGTTTCCATTCCTGTCAAAAACTTTGATACAATGTTCACCACTGTCTGGCACTATGAGATAGCTATCATACTAAATACAGTGCCTGGGAGATTTCAAAGAGCCCTTCCCACCTATTTTCATAAGGAACTTTCCATCGGGAGCAAAGATTTTAATAACGCTGTTTCCTTTGTCAACAACGATCACATTACCGTCAATGTCTAAAGATAAACCCCAAGGATCATTTGTGTGTTTATCAAGGTTTCCACGGCCACCAAAGCTTCCTACGTACTCACCCCTCCCATCGAAAATCTGAACTCGATTCGAACTGTCTGCGACGAAAATATTCCCGTTATCATGAAATGCTATTCCTTTAGGACAATAAAATTCTCCCGCTTTGTTACCCTGACGACCAAAGGATCTTATGTAATTTCCGTCACTGTTAAAGATTTTAATTCTATGGTTGTCAAAATCAGTTACAGCTATCTCATCCCCAGCATTTACTGCCAGCCCAAAAGGACAGTCGAACATTTCTAAAGCCGAACCTTTCTCACTGAATGTTAAAACAGGTTTAAATTGAAATGGTTTTACGAGTACGGTAAAAGGACTTCTATCAATATGTTCCCCATTTACCTTTACACTCACTTTACACCTTCCTTCATCTTTTGGAGTATACTTGATCTGGTAGAGTCCATCTTCATGGTCATTTATTTCTACTTCCGTAGCGCATTCTCGTCCTCGTTCATCTCTGATCTCCCCCGTGACATGGTCTCGTTCATTGTATCACTGTTTTCCACGACCGTTTCTTGAGGTCAAAGTAAATTGTGCTTCACGGTTTACTAATCCCTCTTCAATTCCTTTGCCTTCGCAAATAAAACGACTTGCCTTAGTGAGCTACAAGATTTGCAAAGTTCCAATGTCATCAGTTTTGACAGTCTCCAACAGTTTTGGATTTTCCTCATTTTTCAGGCCTTATTTTCACCACTATTTAAATTTTGTTCAAAACTGCGAGGATCGCTTTCGTATTGGTCGCCAACATATTTTTGAGCCTGTGTCTAGCCTTCCCTTAACCATAATCAAATCATCAAATCTATTTCCCTTTCTTTTTGTGTGAGGTGGTAGGGTAGGGAAGAGAGAGTGGCGATTTACAAGCCAGTATATATTTATAATCTCAAGAATAATTTGCGTACTTTGTGCTGAAGAATAATTTGGAGTAATTTATTAATGATAGTGGATGTGTGTTTCTTTGCTTACAATGAACCATTTCTATGACTTGTCCACATAAACAAAAACAAACGAACCAATGCTAGTAAGAAATTTTTCTTTCTTTTATTGCTCACGTTTTCCAACGTACTGGCTAGCGTTAAAACTATTTCCATGGCTGTCTTGAACATACGAACTAATAGAAGCCACTAAAGAACTGATACTATCTACTCAAAATTCCATCTATCAACATCTGGCAAACAGCCAAACATAAATCTTTAAAAGAAAGTTCTGATTTTAAGGTAAACAGAATCAGTACTTAAGTTTACCTCAAACAATGTTCTTAGTTAGATCTGAGTCGACCTAAAAACTTGAAAGTTAAAATTACGTGGTACATCACAAAGATATACAGCACCATATCAGCTCTCATTTGAATGGTCTCAGTCACAAGTCAGAGTTAAATTTTAAAGAACCTCAAGTCAAGCATGATAAAAAGAGACTCATGAAAATGTTGTTAAGTAGCTTTCATTTGAAAGGTCACCTTAGAAATGGTTGCCTGCAGTGGAGGCGTAATGTGGCAAGCGAGTGCTCAGTACTCTTTGAGTTTTACGGCAGAAGGCTAAGAAGAGAGCAGGGTGAACGGGAAACCGGATTAGCGGACTTGGACTGTATTTTTGCCCGGGTTTCATTTCATTCATTCATTTTGTGGATCCTACTATTGCATCAATTTTTTGGGCCCTAATTTTGGATTGTGCAAGTGATAAAGTTCGGAACTTGGATCTCTGTGATCGTTTGAAATGTTTTGTTTTTATGTGTGCGTTACTGTAGCCTAAGTGTTGCCGTACCCTCCCCACCCCCACCCCCCCCCCCCCACACACACACACACACACACACACACACACACACACACACACACACACACACACACACACACACACACACATACACAAGGTGCAACGGAGGCGAGGCAAGCGTTCCCTCGCTTCCACTTCACCTTGGGGGGGTACGGCTACACGTAGGTTAACGTTACTGTAGTTTTTTTGTCACGGACAAGACTCACCGAATGTCACGCGGAAAGGAAATGGTAATAACGCACCATGGTCAGGAAGCCATGACATGCTCCCAGCGGGACGTGTTATCTTCGCGCTTTTATCAGCTTGGATTGCATTTCAATTACATTATTGGGTCGTGCGCAGTACAATTTTTTTTTTCAATTTTCAAACAAACCAGCGAGCAGCACTCTGTGAACAGTAGTTGTAAAACTTCTTTATTCTCCGACGCCTTTCGTGTAACTGTCGTAGACTTCTTCAGGGAGTTTTACTGATAAACACTAAAGGCCTGTAGTTATAAGCCATAGTTGACAGCTATTACGTGAAAAAAGTTCTAAAGCAAGGTGAGAAAAAGATTTGGGAGTCACGGTTTTAAATTTTATTCTAGCCTTGCCTTAAAACTTTTCTACAACTTTGCCAGCCCCTGTTCGTAAATCTGGCCAAACTTTCGTAGTGTTTCACCCAAGTAATGGCCGCTAACTATGGCTTATAAATATTGGCGTTTAGAGTTTACTTGTAAAAATCCCTGAAAAAGTCTACGAAGATTAGACGAAACACGTTGGAGAATAAAACAAGTTTTTACAACAACTGTACTGCAACTCTTCGACAGCAGAGTAAACATCCCACATGAAAGAGCTTCTTCGTAACTTTCATTTGAATGGTCATACAGTAAGGTGACTGACAAACACAGAGACAGCAGAAATTTGAAAAGTAAAGGTGGAGTTTGCGCTTTCTTTCAAGGAAAAACGCACAGCACCGACATCGAAAACAAACGCAATACATTCACAAGAGCACAGAGATAGCAACCAGCGGAAAACTGTCCAAACAAACAAATGAAGTATTTTACAAGGATGCATTTGAAAAGAGAAATTGTTTCACATCCTAATAAATGAAATGACAGAAACGTCAAAACTTTTTATTTACAATTTTCCTCCGAGATTTAAAATGTTAAGAACGCCTGAATACAAGCTAAGACTATCTTGAACTAACCTATATCAAACTTAGTAAAAGTTAATAGCGAATTTCAATTGAGTGTCCGACGTGTAAAATCTATGCGGAAGAAAACAACACAATCAGCTTCCAGTGGTTGATTAACTCTTACAAGACCAAGAAGTACCTAACTAGATAACCGTCACAGTTATCGTATGAAAAAAACTCAGATACATAATAGTTCATTATTTGCCAAGGACTCACTCTGAGCATCCGACAATAATAAAGCCACTGTTCTAACAAACGAGTAAGATTCCTCTCCTTGTTAGGGCATGGTAGTAGTGGACTTTTCCTTGGCTATCGGTTGCTGATTTCCAATACGGAGGAAGATGACCCGGTGGTTTCTGTTTCACAGGTGATAGCGTGCACGGTTCTGAATGTGAAGGAAAGCCCTGTCTGACATTGACTTCGTCACAGCTCCAGTTTGAACAGAGAGCGACCCCAACTCGGGGTGTGACACACTTTCTGTTGGACCAGTCAACTGCTGCAGAGGCCCTGACATATTTACGGCTGAATTCCCTTGTTGAGCAGCCGCGATGTTGAGGTTTGGAGGGGGTGTATTAAACCGAAACTGATTCTGCTGTGGTGGAAAAGCAGCCTGGGTGCTCTGAGGAAAGTGCTGTTGAATAGGGTTGGGGTAGGAGTCTGGAAACTGTGTTGGTGGTGGAGTCGTAACATTGGTTTGAAAGGGTAGCGGAGGGGGAAGCCGAGAGTGGGAGGGGGGGGGGTTGGTTGACTGGGTGGCAAGAACTGTGATTGACTGCTCCGCAGGGGTGGCGGAGGTACTTGCTGGGGTGGCCGTATCAGAGGATTTGGCTGCAGCTGCTGAGGAATCATTGGGTGAGTCTGCAGAAGGATATTGGGTGGTAGCACTTTGCGAAAAAATTCCATAGGTGGCATATTAGGGGGAGGCATTTTAAAGTTTGGTAATGGTAGGGGCTGTTGAGAGAAATTTCCCACAAAACGTCCTGAAACTTTATTTTGTAGTCGTGGTCCTTGATCTTGTCCAAATGCTGGTCATCTGCTGCACAAGAATTGGTTTCCAACTTCGAAAGTCGCGGAGGGGTTTTGCGACTGTCCTCTCCACTGGGTTGCCGTACCTTGCTGAGGTCTCAACTTTGTTTGAAGATTCACGTTAAAGTTTCCACCGTTTTTATCTACCAATCCTTGAGGATTTCTTCCCTGTTGCTGAAAAAAGTTCTGCAATTGATTCCATTTTTTCTTTTCCTTTCTGCTGCGGCCGAACTTATGTTGGAAAAAGCTAATCTCATGGTACACACTGACGCTCACGCGCTGTTGATGACCAAATATGTGCATCATGTTCTGTGATTTCGAATCTCAGTTGTTTCTGAGTAACTTCAACAGAATCTGACACCCGTAAACTTGTATGGGTTCCTTCTTTTTTATCAGGAGTTGAAACCGCTCGGATATCCACATCTCCTCCGAATTCCAAAGCACGGATGTCGCCAGTTTTTGACGGAGGCGTAGTGCTCGAAGAGTCTTGCGAGATCTCAGTGTCTTCACTACAGGTAGAGAATCCCTGTGAAACGGGAACAGTTCTGGAATCAGATGGATCAAGTTCGTTTTGGTCAAACGCTTACAGGCGGGACTGTTATGTAAGTACTTATGTTCCTTTTCTTTGTGCTTGTCTAAACATCCAGTCTATCGGTAGTTTCGCCTAATTTTTACACTAGTTTCTTTATCGCTCGTTTTCGCAACCTTGTAACATATAGCTTACGTTGTTCACGCTTTGTTAGAAAGCTGCTCGTTTTTCCCACTCAGTTATTAGTTTTGTTAGAATTCGTTTTCAAGCTGTTCTCCTTTATCCTTTTAAGACAGTCTTTTTGTGAGTTTGTTTTAGAGTTTTAGCTAGTCTTTTTGGATCTTGCTTTTATATCGGAATGGTTGGACTGTTGATTCGTATATTAGATTTAGCTTAGCTTCTTCCTTATAATTTCACATTTCACTTTACGATAAGTACTTGGAAACCTCGACTACGCTAAATAAAACGATTCAAGTCTTTTCCGTAAAATATATCCTCGCTTCATAGTGTGTCTTCATTTGCGAAACTCATAGTTGTCGTTGAAAATTTGCTTCACTTGTGTCGGCCGCTACACAGATAGTGAAACTGTGGCTTGAGAAGGGCTTTGGATGGCGACAGACCTCATTTCTGTTTTTTTAAGAACGGAACCCTTCTCTTCGCGATTTCCTTACATATTTAGGCTTCTCGATTTCTTCTTTGATACTGAATACTATGGTATTCTGATGTCGAACTCGAACTGTGTATTTGATAATTTATCACAAATTCAGAGTCTCAGAGACTTGGCAACACATCCATAGCGCTTTTAGGCAAGTACGCTAAAAATGGAGAGATGTGAGTTTTCCAAAAATTTTCGAAACAGTGGATCTCAGTTGAGGTTAAGGGTTTCCCTTTTTTTCTGAATGAAATGAAAGATGTGCAGCAGTCGATAGAAAAAGGGTTTTCCGATTTAGCGAAGTTCGCTATATCTTCCTCGCTGTGTTCACATATTCAATCAATGTTTTTTTTCGTGGTTGTTTTGCCATTTAACTCGGTCAGTTTGGATTTTGTTTGGTAAAGATTTCAAGGGATTTGGGATTAGTTACATGAATAGACTCAACAAACAAAACATTTAATGATCCAATTCGACTTGCACACAATTAGTGTCATAATTAAATGGGCCTAAACAGTTTCTTTGAATCACGGAAGTCAACAATGAATAAGTCTTGCTGGAGAACACGCATGTTGCCTTCAATATAAGATAGATAGGAGGATTCATTTCTCTACATTCTCCGTGAAAATCCGCAATCCAAATCAGAGTTCTTAAGCTACTAATGATCAACGTTCTCCTTTTTGATAAAAGGCCACACGTACATACAGCAAATGGTAGGAAAACATCGCCTATGCCATAGAGTGGCCAGATGCATACACTTTGTGGAATCCGATAGAGTGTTTTATTTCCATTCAGTAGAGAGTATGGGCGATCGCGAACCTAATTGGTTAAATGAAATATTTTTAGTGACCCTCCTCTCACGTGGGAAAATTAAAATCAGACATATATTTCTCCAAAATTTAATCCAGGTATCCCATATTCGCATTTTGAAACTCTGTACGTTTTTATTGATAGTGAAGCATGACGAAGGCGCAACGCTTGTCCTCTTGCGAATCCTTTCTTTAGGTCTGGTTGATGAAACCAATAAAAGTTCATGCATTGAAATGTCTCCGTCTCTTTGAAATGCGTTTGCACGTCGAGGGTCGATTCCCTGTGAAATTTTTGGCCTTTGTGCACTTGTGTGTCCAAGAAGAGAATCTTCGTGTCTGGCCCCGGTTATTCAAAGGGTGGATAACGCTATCCACCAGATAAATCTCTATCCGGTGGATAGCGCAATACGTTTTGTTAAATCGCTATCCGCTGGATAGCGATTTATCCGTTGGGTAGCATTATCCGTCCTTTGAACAACTGGGCCTTAATCGATATTTTAGCCATTAATTTAATTGTATCGTGGCAGCTGTTTGTCTGTCTTGCAAATTCTTCTATTTTGTCTAAATTGTGTTCCTCAGACAGAAAAGTTGCGCCGTAAAATCAGAGTTAATACATACAACTGACCTAAAGCACCGTAAACGTCACGATTTCTTTTAGCTTCTACCTGATTGGTGCAAAGGCTGGCACGACGGGTTGTCGGGACCAATCACAAAGCGAGGCGAAGGATTCTGGTATGCGTCAGGAGTTCCGTTGTCGCCTTTCGGACGATAAGTGTTAAAACTCGCAAGATCGAAGTCTTAATTTTCTCTTCCTATAACTCCATTCCTTGCGATTTTGGAGTTATGACAAGGTAACACCTTGTTAATAGGTTTTTTCAATGACATCACCTGTTTACTGAATAAAGTTCGTACCCGAGCTGGCACCTTGTCAGAGTTCTTGCCTGAAGCGCTAAATTTAAACTGTTTAACAAGGGATACCCAACTCGAGATTGTTGAGGCTAGAGCAAGCAAAAGGAAGAAACTTATTACACTGGTTACCGCAATTGACATTTTCTGTGATCTAGTACTGAACGTTGAACATACTTGCTTTATGTGAAAAAGAAGCAGATATTTTGAGATACCATCTAGGCATACTCCAATAGATCACAAGTAACAACAGGCCAATATGCGTGTGGGATCCAGCTCATCAAATAAATGTTTGTAGATGGGTATCATTGACGCATTACATCCTTTGAATGCTCCTTGTCTTGCTTTATTTAAACTGCAGCATAATCAGTTAACATAGTTCCAACACTACTTACTTAAACCTACAAACCAAGTTTAGTAAAATGTTCCTTGCAATAAAGCTGCCTATAAAAAAACATTAACACACTTCAAAAACATTCATTAGCTTGAGATCTAGAAATGCTTTGGAAAAAGTTACAAATCTCATAAAGAGTTTAAATGTATCTATGTAAGAACCGAGACTAGTCAAAAATTATTTTAGATTAAACATACTGGCATAGCAACAACTAGTAAAAATCCAGTCTGTAGAGACGTTCGTCACAAGAAAAAAAGGTAAACAAAGAAGAAGCAAATATAATAAATGAATGAGCACGAATCTTAGGAGCAGAGGGTAGAAACAAAAAAAATTGATTTAAACATACTTTGGAAAAAATTACTTTTTTGCGCTCCTCTTTAAGGAAAAAAAATCCATTTGTTAATTTATTACTTTTATCTGCACTGGAATGTACCAATGTCAAAGAAAACAAACGCTGACAAAGAAATAAACCAACATAAACAAAAATCGAAGCCTTAACTTCGAAAAGTTGACTTGAAATAATTCTAAACAAGAAAAACACGTTGTTGCTTCGCTTAAAACCACTCTCCTGTTAAAGGTGATATAATTCAAAACTAATTTGATTTCAATCTGTACTCTAAGCAAGACCTTCACTAAAGTCGTGCAATGCAAATAATTCGTTCCTTCTCCTTGTTTGATTATTTTTGTTTTGTTTCTCGCCTATTTTGCTCTTTTTGAATTTGTGTCTATGAGGATAGTCGCGCCGAGAATGTAGGAGATAGGCAATTTTTTTTTGGTTAGGAGTAGTACAGTTAACTCCAATGAAACCTTTCATGCACCACTTCCAGCAAGAAAAAAAATTCCATCTCTTTTACATTATTGGCGCAACTATTTTGATATATACAGTTACAAAAAGAACCAAAAAGGGGAGAGAACAAAACAAACACAATAGAACTCAGTTATTTGCATCTCACCACTTTAAATCTAATCAAACTATTTGTAGGAAATGGTCGTCAACATTTTAATCTGAGGTATATCATGACATAATGACTCTCCCCACTCCCTTTCTACTTGCATCCACATTCAGTGATGATGTGCATCTCCTTCTCTTTGTGATCACCCGTTTGAACATATTCTGTGGTGTAGTTGGTGGCGATACAAGCCCTCTCGCGAAAAACCAAGCAGTGCTGGCTACAATACTTGTTCCTGTATTGAAACAGATAAATGAATATATAAGTTGATACGTTATTGGTGACGTCATCTACGAGCTTGTCCTATAATAGATCATGATTAGGAACCAACCAAAATGCCTGTATTACTCAGCTTATCATAATAAATGTTGATTCTGCTTTCAAATGGTTTACGACCGCTGCCACAGTCTCTGTCAACGAAATGCATAAAATTGCCTCAAATGATAAATTATATGGAATGGAGCGACTCACCCAAAGAAACAGCGAACACAACTCCTGGGGCAACCAGTACCGACACACGTTCCAACATCTTTTTCCTGAAAATAATCTCAACATTGCAAGAAGGAACAAACTTGACGATCTTTACATGCCAATGGATTTACAAGTATGCTTAAAATTCTCTAATCGTCTTTCATTATTTTTTATGTCCTTCAGTATTTTTTTTTTACTTTTCGTTTACTGATGGTTTTTCATTTAAGAATGGTGTACTTTTTTGGAACAGCTTCTTAACCATTAAGCTCTTAAGACCGAGATGCCTATTGTCATCATTTTTTTTCTTTAAGATATATCAATACGTTATAGGAAGTTACGTGTTCATTCCACCTTGTCTTTATTTCGTCTTATTCATTAATTATTTCACTTTTTTTAGCTCAGTGTACTTCTTAACTGTCGTCACTGCTTGGTTTATCACCTTCTCGTCGCATGAAAGACTTTGGAAGACTTTGCTTGACTCTTGCTGGAGTGAATTTTTTCAACCTTTTAAGGCACTGGTTTACTGAGTCAATGGAGTGCAATTTGGTCTGAAATCATACGCCTGATTTCAAAATCCAACGAGCACTCAGCTCATGTTTGATTTGAAATCACAAGTATGATTTCAGACCAAAATTGCACAACATGAAGTTCAATTACCACTTTTTCACATCTATTTCGAAATCGCAACATTCAGTCGCTCGAGTACAGGTTTTTTATTATTGATATGTACAAATGTTTTATTAATCCAGTATTGAACTGGTTTGTAAAAAGTTGCAAAAGTTGTCTTTTATTTTCCTGCAATTTGATTGATTTCTTCGAGCAAGCCTTTAAATCTTACTGATTGTCTTAGTAAAGCTCTCTCATTGGTTAAGAAAAAGAGGCGATTAAGAGCATAAAATGGTGCGACTCGTGAATAAATGACACCAATGAGAGCCAATCAGATTGCAAGGATTATCAGTGATTTCAAAATGGATTTAATGAAAACAAAATTATTTCCGGCAACCTTTTTAAATAATTAGGTGAGTGAACTTACGTACGGTCCTAAATTTTGTTTTAGCAATCGTTTCTCTAAGTACACACCAGTGACCACGAGTGACCACGGGTGACCACAAATGGCCACGAGTGACCACGAGTGACCACGAGTGACCACGAGTGACCACGAGTGACCACGAGTGACCACGAGTGACCACGAGTGACCACGAGTGACCACGAGTGACCACGAGTGACCACGAGTGACCACGAGTGACCACGAGTGACCACGAGTGACCACGAGTGACCACGAGTGACCACGAGTGACCACGAGTGACCACGAGTGACCACGAGTGACCACGAGTGACCACGAGTGACCACGAATGGTTCACGAGTGACCACAGATTAAAACTAACACAGTCTTTGAAACACACGTTAATGAAATTTCCTCGACACTTAAATTTTGCGGGACTTAACCACGAATGGCCACGATACGGTAATTTAAGAGAACATGGCCACGAGTACCACCCTCCTAATGTTCCACCATCTTTCTGAGATATCGCCACCACGAATGGCCACAAATCTCTGGAGATCCGACCACTTTTTCTAAATAGACTAGATATAAATTTCAAAGGATTTTTAGACACGACCAAGCTCTTTCAGTGACCACGAATGGCACACGTTCTAAAAGTGAGTTAACCTGATTCAATAAACCTTTCGAAAAATCTGATTTAATCATAGATGTCCAATGGATCCTCTTCATGATACCAGACAAATATTTTAATTACTTTTTAATTGTAGTCTCTTATAGTCACTCGTGGTCACTCGTCTGTACTCTTAGACACGACCATCGTTTTAAAAGTATATTTGACACGGTACCAAATATGATGTAAATTCAACGTCGTACAAGAAACAAATTTGTTTCTCTCATAATGATTGTGATTGTCATCAGCGATATTTAAATTATGATTTCTTTTACCGATCACTTTCTTGTTACAGTCTTCATTACACACCTCTTGGATCCACGCGTTGCCCGACTTCCTCTTGAAAACTTCACGAAAAGCAACGCGGTGGCAAATTGGGTTCACGCAACCACACTTCTTAATAACGCGATGAGTCAGCTCACCTTCTCCTATTTAGAAACAAGTGGTCAATTTAAGTATATTTGGATGACCTAGAGCTATATATTTTCCAGTCTAGCCCACCCACTTAGTTAACCATCCCTTGTTTCTATCAAAGGGAAGGCATCACCTGCTGCACCTTCGCAACAACACCTCTTAAGAATATTCAATCTTTACATCTAGATCAATATCCTACCATTTGGCCCTTTTATGGCTATCATTAGGCTGTCAATGGCTTTGCACGCATGTCCACTGCTTCCAAAAGAACCACGGCAGACGCCTATATCATGACGAAGACTGTACGATGTTCCGTTAAAGAAGGTTTTGAACAAAGCTTGGCGACTGCAGTCGCCAGAGGTATTTTGATAGCCACACATAGCAATAGCGGTTCTGTACTTTGAGCCACCAATGAGGGGATGACTTCTGCTGGTCACCTCAGTGGGGTTGCATGAAGAGGATCCATTGGACATCTATGATTAAATCAGATTTTTCGAAAGGTTTATTGAATCAGGTTAACTCCACTTTTAGAACGAGGAGGGCCTTTGTGCCACTCTGTAACTTGAGGACTGGGACTTTTCTAAAGCGTGTAAAGATATGCTGAAAGAGCTTGGATACTTCTCGTGTCTAAAAATCCTTTGAAATTTATATCTAGTACTATTTAGAAAAAGATAATTGATTTAACCGGATCCATAGAGATTTGTCACGGAGGACCCATCAACACAGACCATATGCAGCTCCTGGCGATATCTCAGAAAGATGGTTGAACATTAGGAGGGTGAAGGGGGGGGGAAGGTAATAGGGAGCTCATGTTCTCTTAAATTACCGTATACGTATTGATAAGCCTTCCAGTTAGGAATTTAAGTCCCGCAAAATTTAAGTGTCGAGGAAATTTCATTAACAAGGTTCTCGTGTTTCAAAGACTGTGTTAGTTTTAATCTGAACAAGTTTCTTTTAACGTGTACTCTGATTGGCTGGAACAGCGAACTTGATTAGATTACAGACGCACGCAGTAACGATGTCACGCCGTCGACTATTTTGGACAATGGCCGACTATTTCCAGAGTTTTATCCCTCTTTTTAACTTTTTTTCGACTCACTTGTCTTGCATGACCTGTAAAGCGAATATATATAAGAACGTGCTCGTGGCTTCAAACAGAACTCAGTTGGTAGAGCGCTGCACCGGTATCGCAGAGGTCATGGGTTCAAATCCTGTACAGGCATGAATTTTTTTCGAGCCCTATTTTCACTGCTGCTTAAGTAGTGTTCATTACTGCGAAAATCGCTTCTACATTCACTTCTTTATCCGCAGTTCACATATGTGATTTTTATAAACTTAGAATCAGAACTAACTCAGTTTGTGAACTTTGATGGTTTGACATTTTGAGAGTTTTTTATCTTTTTCAACCAATCAAATTATTTGAACCATTTTAACGAGGATTCTGATTGGTTTATTGTAACATGCTCTCTGAGAGTACAGATGCACGCGGCGCCACCCCTGTTCGTTTAGAAAATAAATTTTGTTTTAAAAAGTTTTCGAATGCGTGGTGAAATTAATGTTTTCTTTATTATAAAACAAATAAAGAAGCCTCGAGTGTGCTCTATTCTCTCGTGAAGCACTTAGGAAGCAGCAAGAGCAGTAAAGGTTTCGAGAGAAACGTTCGACTACGTCTCGTGTTTCCCCTTCACTTCTTTGGTGCTGTAGCTGCTTGCTGTGTGCTTTTCACCAGAGCAAAGCAAAGTCAAGCTTGGGTTTTCAATGGTATAGCGTGTTCATAAAATCTGGGCGACAATTCACAAGGAATGATAATGGATTACATTTTGGCCAAAGGTAAGGTTTTTGAAGCCCTACCCTTAGTCCCTTCCTCTGAGTGGAAGCTTACGAAATTCTTTAGCACCTTGAGGCTATTTTTTTAAATAAACATTTAAGGAAAATTTTGATTGCAATCATTGCAATCAAAATTTTCTTTGAAAAGTTTTTAAAATATTTCAAGTCTATATATACTCTTAAAGCAGTGTCCATGAATAAGTTCTGAAATATCTAGATATGCAGTTATAGAGAAAGAAATCGAGTTTTAAGTTTCTTCGTCTTATGCGACTTTTATAGTTGTTTTAATATGAAGGAAATCATAAAATGTCAGTCTAGAAACAAAAGAAAACGGAAAAGTGGAAAGAGTGAAATAATGGTAACATGTGTGATTAAGAAATTACACGGATTGCAAACGATGAGCTTCTATTATTTTGAAAATGCAACGGCAAAAAGGATAGTGACGACACGTTCAACATTGAGTCGATTGGGGAATTCAACCAATCAAGACTTAATGAAATACATGGTCTGGATGAACTCGGAACACATTGTTGCCGCCTGGATCCATTCTCTGCAACAAAACTCCATTCCTCCCACTCATCTTGTTACCCAGAATTTTTCCGTGAAGAAGATTTGGGCTCCTCTTTAATGTTTGTGAGGGACAACTCAGAGTTATTCAAGCAGGTCCGAAATTATTTGAAAATTCGAATTTGGATTGGCTAAAGTGAAGTATGGATTCGGAACTGTGTTAGATTTAGCACCTATGCAGACAATAACATAGCTTAAATAGCACGTCTTGTGTGGCCTGCGAGTGTAGTCTCACATTTGTGCACGGGTGACAGGCCCGCGGGATTCGAGTAGAGTTTCGTGAGCGTTCCCGCTCCCGCCCCATTGCTAATGATGATGAAAGCCTGGTCGAATGCTGCGCGTTGTGCTTTCGCCAGGGCCTGCGAAAATGCAGGGTCTCTTAGGCATTGCGACACGCGCAGCGAAGCCCGCGGGTTTCGAAGCAGCGTGCGATGCGAGCATGAGAGAGGTCTGCGAGGGTTCCTCGAAGTTACTCGACGTGTGCTTATTTCGAGGGCTCTTCGCCGCTTGTGTCACAACGCTTATGTAATAATAGCATGCTCGTAGGATCCATTCTCATCTCAGGAGTAGCTTTGTAGCAGTGGCGTGGCAAGTTTCTACACATCGCCCCATATCTGCTTCATGAAACCTGTGACAAACGTCTAAAAGCAAGAAAATGTAAAAAAATATCTCAACTTAGTTCACTGCGAATAAAATACCTTTTAATAGAGTACATTTTTTGGTTTGTATCTAGAATGAAATATTTTCCACCCAGTCTGCAATTTTCAACCCAGAGGTTCATCAGAAGTTGACTTCACCGTCATTAATATTAAGTCGTGGAAAAAATGCGAGGACCGGTCCAATTCCTAAAGTCGATTAACCGAAGTCTGAGGAACACTTTCGTCCCATTTCAACTCTCCCCACACTATCGAAAGTCTTTGAAAAACTTGTCGCGCTGCAGATGACCACACTTTGTGAATCTGAATCAGTACTCCGCGATACAATATATATATTTCTAGCTTTAGTAAAGGACACTCGACCAATGCAGTGCTAATGGGTATGCGCGACGATTTGGTGTGATGTCTGTACAGATTTTACCAACGTAATAAAAGTAGATGACGTGAATAACACGGTAGTAGTGTTGTTCAATAGATTGCATAGAGTATATGCAGTTTGGTTTCAGATTTCAGACTTTGCTTTTTACAACAAGTGTCCGTTTTTCAACTAAGACATTGGCATACTTGGCATACAAGGCATTCAAGGTTTTCATGGCTTTCAAGCGTTCGCGACTCAATCCGTTCCAAAATTACCGCTCAATAACATCTTTTAGTGTGGATTGGCCGCGAACAATACGACTTGTGTATGCGTCTGTAAGTATTTTGAGCGTTTGCGCCATAATGCTCCAGGTGATCGTAATCCAAACACGTTGAAATAAAAACGACTGACAAAAGAGTTTCATAAGCAAAAATCTCGTGGTTCGTCATGTGAGCCGGCCCTGTCCGTGCATGACAACGTCAATCATCTTCAAGATAACACGCGTGATCAGCATGGGCCTCATTGGATCGCAGTTAATTGTCATAGTGTTGAAGGCCCAATGACCACTGGGTACTATTGCGCAGTTTTTCCATTTTGTGGCGGAGGAAAAAAAAAGACGACAAAAAAACAAAGGCGTTTTATGACTGGGCTATCACAGGTATCCCATTAAAAAAATTTAAAAAATAACATCTTTGCTGGCGTGCAGAGAGTGGTATGTTGCTCGCACCAATCAGATCGTTTAGGGTATGTATCTCGCACCAATCAGAGCGTATCTTGTTCAAATTTCAACGAAGTAATGGGGGATTCGGAGAGAGCGGTTCGTAATATGGAAACATCTTTTAGATGAGAAATGTTGGCGTTTCTGTGTTTTTAACGTGTATTTTACCGCGCTTTATGAGAAATGCGATATTACAGGACAGATGAAAGATATCAGATTACCTATAGTAAACATGTTACTCATGCTGTGAAAATGGTAGATAGTTGTTCGAAAGAAAATAGAGTTCTGTGCACTGTAGCGCGATCATGGTTATTGTTCCTTCACGACGAGAGTGAGGGGAAAAATTTTGAATCAAATATTGCTTGAGGTGTTGGTGAATTGCACCAAACATTTTGATTTGAGCAGTTCTTTAACGGCAGGCTGTGTTACAAGATTCATGATTTGTTGATTGTGCCGATTATATTATTCTGGATTGGATTGCTCGGTGCTATCTCTAGATGAATGTCTGATTAATATTAACTATGGACGATTTTGTGTACGTTTTCGGTGCCTGGAGAAGGTGATCTTGTGGAGTCGTTTGCGTTTGGCCAAGGACGAATTCAGATACCATCGTTACCATGTTCATTTGATTTTGTGGTAAAATTTCCGCACAGCCCCATACTATTGTAGACCTATTGTAAAACAAATCTGTTTTCCCAATGGCAAGGTATTGTTTTTGTTATTGCTTCCTCTATCCAAGAACTAAATGCATAATGTAGTATGGGGCTGTGCGGAAATTTTACCAATCGAAGGAACAGTTTTGGTCTGGGTCCGCATTTTTGTCAACAAAATAAACACATACCGCTTAAAAAGATGATAATACGGACCACGTGCAAAGCTGTCAATTGTTTCTCGAATGTTGTACGTGTTAAACATTCAATAGTGACATTCATTTACATCTACATCTGCGTCTACTTTTATTACGTTGGTAAAATCTGTACAAACATCACACCAACCAACTCGCGCGCAAAGTGAGAAGACTGTATGAAGGCTTGAAATTATATTAAGATCGATTTTGATCAAGAAATGGGCCACGAATATTCCACAATAGTGCAAATAATTGTGTACGCTGATCGCGGAAAGGCGATTGCGTGACGCTCGGTAAGATGACATGTTATCACATACCGGGCGAAAAAACTCTTCAGATTCTTAGTCTGCATTTTGTACCCACTCCGCAGTCTGCAATCTACATTTTGTACCTAGTCTACATTTTGTACCTAGTCTACATTTTATACCTGGTCTACATTTTGTATCCGGTCTGCAGTCTGCAGTCTGCATTTTGTACTAACAGGTATCCGTGGCACCAAT